AGCTATGCATGTTTTCAGCCTAAAAGGTCTTGGGCAACCAAAAGCAAATGATGGGGTGGTCTTACTAAAATATTTATAGTCCTAATGATACCAGGACTTATAAACCACTTGCCTCAGGCACAGAGGCCAAGAACAGTTTTTGGTTTTCCACAAAAATTGATACCCAAATTTGTTATTTCACTTACTCCCTCTCCTTGCTCAATTTTTTTTCTATGTATGTATTTAGTACTCATTTTAAAAAATAGTATAGGATTATAGATATTTATTTTTGAGCATTAAGTGAAAATATAGTCTTTGCACAGAGTTAATTGACAAGAAGCTGCTATAAAAATTAGACCTCGGGGACACTCATACCCACTCAAACCCCAGAAGTAAATATACCGAAAAAATGCCTGCCTTCATTCTGCCTGGCTAGACTTCCGGTTCTCACTCAGTTCTCTTTCATGTTTCTGTTCTCCTAGGACATGGTATGTCAATTACTCAGGCCTCAACTAGGGCTAACAGTCTCAACTGGAGACAATTCAATGGCCACATCATTGGCACAGGTTAACTAGTGTCTTAGTTCATGCAGGCTGCTATAAAAAACTGCCACAGACTGAGTGGCTTAGAAAAACAGAAGTTTATTTCTCACCGTTGTGGAGGCTGGGAAGTCCAAGATCGGGGTGCCGATGGGTTCAGGGTCTGGTCAGGGTCTGCTTCCTGGTTCCTAGAGAGCCATCTTTTTGGTGTGTCCTCACATGACAGAAGGGGCAAACTAGCTCTCTGGGGTCCCTTTTATAAGGGCACTTATCCCTTCATGAGGGCTCACTGTCAAGACCTGCAACGTCCCAAAGGCTCCACTTTCTAATATCATCACACTGGGGGTTAGGATGTCAATGTTAGGAATTCTAGTTGGGGGGTGTTGGGGGGACGGGTAAACAAACATTGAGACCATAGTAGCTGGATAATCATAAGATAAATAAAGAGTTTTTTTTAACACTTGGTGGCATTGCCACTTTTTTCTTCAAAAATAGTTGCCAATCCAAGAACTCCTAAGTCCATTTATACCTAAGTTGAGGATCTGTGTTCAGTTAAAAACAAACACACCTGTCGGGCGCAGTGGCTCATGCCTATAATCCCAGCACTTTGGGAGGCCGACATGGGAGGATCACCTGAAGTCAGGAGTTCAAGACCAGCCTGGCCAACATGGTGAAACCCCATCTCTGCTAAATATACAAAAATTAGCCAGCCAGAGCAAGACTGTCTCCAAAAAAAAAAAAAAAAAGCTATCAGAAATTTTCAGCCAGGCGCAGTGGCTCAAGCCTGTAATCCCAGCACTTTGGGAGGCTGAGGTGGGCGGATCACGAGGTCAGGAGATAGAGACCATCCTGGCTAACACGGTGAAACCCCGTCTCTACTAAAAATACAAAAAAAAAAAACTAGCTGGGCGAGGTGGCGGGTGCCTGTAGTCCCAGCTACTCGGGAGGCTGAGGCAGGAGAATGGTGTAAACCCAGGAGGCAGAGCTTGCAGTGAGCCGAGATCGTGCCACCGCACTCCAGCCTGGGTGACAGAGGAAGACTCTGTCTCAAAAAAAAAAAAAAAGAAAGAAATGTTCACAATATGTATCAAAATTTTAAGTGAGCATACATTTAAAACAAATTCTATTTGGAAATGTATTTTAAGGAAATAATGGATCTATGCAAAGATTATGCTATTTCTATAAAATCAAAGTTTGGTTATGATACATCCATATAGGGCGATACTTTGCAGGCAATTAAAATTACTGTAGAAAGAACATTTAATGACAAGAAAAAATGTTGATGCATATCATTAAGTAGAAATAAGTTATTAAACATTGTAAACAACATGAGTATGATCAAATGTTTGTTTAAATGTATTCATATGAATACCTGTATACATATAGAAAAAGACTAGAAAATGTTATACTTTTATATTCATCCACATTTGTGTTGTTCACATTTTTCTAGAAAGAACATGTATCTTTTTAAATAATAAAAACAGCCAACATTCACTTTTTAATGAATGGAGACAATATATAAAAAGCCTCAGGCTGGGTGCAGTGGCTCATGCCTGTAATACCAACACTTTGGGAGGCTGAGGCAGGCAGATCACCTAAGGTCAGGAGTCTGAGACTAGCCTGGCCAACATGGTGAAACTCAATCTCTACTAAAAATACAAAAATTAGCCAGACGTGGTGCAGCACACCTGTAATCCCAGCTACTCAGGAGGTTGAGGCAGGAGAATCGCTTGAACCGGGGAGGTGGAGGTTGCAGTGAGCCGAAATCACACTACTGCACTCCAGCCCGGATGACAGAGTGGGACTCTGTAAAAGGCAAGGAGAAAAGCGTGGGGAGAAGAAGGAGAGACTCATCACAAGGTCTGAGAATGCTCTATTTCATCTTACGTGCTTGAAAGGGAACCAGACTTTAAATTAGAAAGCATACAGAATTCTCCCTTCTTCACCTATTGATATACTTTAAGGAGTGTGGTGTCCAAATGCTATCGGAGATTCTGCTCCTGTTTCTAAGGAGGAAGCTCAACTATCTGCAGTTGCCTCGATGGGACACAGAACCAGGGCTGCCAGGGGGCTATGAGGGAACACTCAGGTCACTTCTCAGACATTGTGATGAGTCTGCTTCTTCTCCCTAGCCCCTTTCTCCTTGCCTTTCTTTCCCAGACAGCCTCTCTTCTGAGGCTCTTTATATGTCCCCTGCATTCAGCCTTCCCTCAAGCGCGCACACACACACACACACACACACACACACACACACACACACACACATATACACACACACATATACACACACACATATACACACACACAAACACACACACACACATACACACACACAAACACACACACACACACACACACACACACACACACACACACACACACATATACACACACACAAACACACACACACACACACACACATAGATGCACCCACATGCACATGCAGTTCTCCGGCTATTTGGAAACTGGCCATCTGGAAACCTGCTGTGGAAGGGAGGACAGAGCACAGGAAGGGTTGGGGTGCTCATCCCACCTCCATCATTAATCTATGGACAAGACACATTAGTGGACTTTTTTCCAGACCCACATTCCTTCCTCTGAAAATGGGAGCTTTGTCAGGTTAGTGGTCAAATTTAAACACAGCAAAACAAAGGGCAAGTATCCAAGAGGTGTTTTTCAAGGGACCTTTCAGCTGGGGCTGAGAAAAGTAGACAAGTAGACATTCCCATTTCTCTAATCTTAATACAGCCATGCAATTTCCAATGTCTCAGTCAATGGCCCTATAAGATTATAATGGAGCGGGCGCGGGGAGTTTGCTTCATCCAGCACTTTGGGAGGCCGGGCGGGGATTACCGAGGTCAGAGACGAGACCATCCTGGCACACGGTGAAACCCCGTCTCTACTAAAAAGTACAAAAACTAGCCGGGCGAGGTGGCGGGCGCCTGTAGTCCCAGCTACTCCGGGAGGCTGAGGCAGGAGAACAGGAACTCCTGAGGCGGAGCTTGCGGTGAGCAGAGATTCGGCCACTGCACTCCAGCCTGGGTGACAGAGCCAGACTCCGTCTCAAAAAAAAAAAAAAAAAAAAGATTATAATGGAGATGAAACATTCCTATTGCCTAGTGACATTGTGAAGCTGGCTGATGTAGTACAATACATTACTCACGTGTGTGTGGTGATGCTTGTGTAAACAAACCTACTGAGCTACCAGCAGCCATGTAAGAGTATAGCACATACCGTTATGTACAGTACACAATACTTGATAATGATTACTTGATAGATAACAAGTAACAACTATGTTGCTGGCTTACATGTTTTCTTTTTTTGGAGATGGAGTCTCACTCTGTCAACCCGGCTGGGGTGCAGTGACGTGATCTCGGCTCACTGCAATCTCCGCCTCCTGGGTTCAAGCGATTCTCCTTCCTCAGCCTCCCAAGTAGCTGGAATTACAGGCGTGTGCCACCACTCCCAGCTAATATTTTTCTATTTTTAGTAGAGGCAGAGTTTCACCATGTTGGCCACACTCGTCTCAAACTCCTGACCTCAGGTGATCCACCCACCCCTGCCTCCCAAAGTGCTGGGATTACAGACATGAGCCACCACGCCTGGCCTGTATTTTATGTCTTATATTTTTATCATTATTTTAGAGTATACTCCTTTTACTCACTTAAAAAGAAAGTTATCATAACTTTTAACCAAAACATTTTAAAAGTAAAAAATTTAAACATCTCAAAAATACAAAAAAAGCTTGTGAATAAGGATATATGAAAGATAATATTTTTGTACAGCTATAAAATGTGTGTGTTTTAAGCTAAGCATTATTACAAAAGAGTCAAAAAGTTAAAAAATCAAAAAGTTTATAAGGTAAAAAGATACAGTAAGTTAAGATTAATATTATATAAAAGAAAAAAATATTTGTTAGTAAATTTAGTGTAACATAAACAGTGGTTATAAAATCTACGGTTTTGTACAGTAACATCCTAGGCCTTCACACTCACTCACCCCTCACTCACTGACTCACCCAGAGCAACTTCCAGTCCTGCAAGCTCCATCTCATGCTAAGTACTCTACAGATGTACCATACTTTTTATCTTTTTATACTGTATTTTTTACTGTACTTTTTTATGTTTAGATATATTTCGATACAAATACTTACCAGTTGTTAACAGCTGTTTACAGTATTCAGTACAGTAACATGCTATACAGGTTTGACTTTAGAGGCAACAGACCATACCATACAGCGAGGTGTGTGGTAGACCATCTAGGTTTGTGTAAGCACACCTACAATATCGGCACAATGATGAAATCGCCTATTGACACATTTCTCAGAGCGCAGCCCCATCGTTAAGTGATGTATGACTGTAAGAGGGAAAATTTGTTCTGCCAGTGAGAATACTTTGTGGATGATCAAAGCAAATATGAGTCAAAAGAGACAGCATTTAGGTAAAATAATATTGACTAAATTTTTAAATTTTCTTTATGTAGTTTTGCTGGTGACTGGAGTACATTCAAACAAAGAAACGTCAAAGAAGATTAAAAGGCCCAAGTTCAGTAAGTAAAATCACAATTCCTTGCTGGCATAAGGCCTTGGGTTTCTCCCATGGAAGGTTATTATACTTGCTTTAGATAATTTTTGTTTTGGTTTGGTTTTTGTCTCTATCTCAACTAATTTCTACTCAGACTGATTAGTGATAAGTCTTATCCCCTACCACATTCCAAAAAGTGTTTGAGATAGGAGCCTGACTTAGGTAAAGGGATATGTAGTTCCCTTGCACTAGAAAAACTCAAAATACACATACAGAGACCAGGCAACAGTAGTGTCTCATGGCTAAGTGGGAATAAGCTTAGCCCTGACACTGAAACATGTCTCCACTCCCGTACCAGAGAACTTATTTTGGCCTAATGCAAAGGTCTAGCAAACCTGCCCACCTTCCACAGACCCTGGGATCAGAAGGCAAATCTCGCAAAAAGCTCATGCAATTTCACACCCAATCAATGGAAGGAGAAAAAAATAAATTTTACTTTTGAGTGGTGGGATTAATTAAGATTAGATGGATAGAAAATCTGAATAAGGGCAAGGGTGGTGGCTCACACCCGTAATCTCAGCACTTTGAAAGGCTGAGAGATGGGCAGATCACTTGAAGTCAGGAGTTTGAGACCAGCCTGATCAACATGGTGTCTCTATTAAAAATTCAAAAATTAGCCAGGCCTGATGGCACATGCCTGTAATCCCAGCTGTTGGGGAGGCTGAGGCATAAGAATCATTTGAACCTGGGAGATGGAGGTTGCAGTGAGCCCAGATCATACCACTGAACTCCAGCCTGGACCAGAGTGAGACTGTGTCCAAAAAAAAAGAAGAAAATCTTGAATAACATGCTTACTTAAGACTGCAGTTTCTTTCTCTCTCGTGGTCTTGGCTTTTATGGAAGTTCCACAATCTCCAGGGACCCAGACTTCTGGCTTCTAATTCTGCCATTTGAATGGCTCCCAATTCATTGCCCAAAATGGCTGCCCCAGCTCCATCCATCAGGTCCACATTCCAGTCAGTAGGAAGAGATGAAGAAAGGCACATAATAGTGATGCAGGATTTTTCTTCTCAGTCATTTTGCAAGCCAGGGACCCCCAGCCAGTGATGCTTCACCTGGCCTTGCTCGCCATGCTAGCATGCCCCAGCACACCTGTGTTACAGCTAAACTCATGTTCAGCAGTTGCTACGCTTGTACCATGCCCAAGAAGAATGTGAGAATAAGCTGGACATTGAAGGGTGAGGAGGGCTGAGAATTTTACTGAGTGAAGGAAGAGCTCTCAGCAGAGAGGGGAAGTGAGGGGTGGTTCTCCTACCCAAAGGCATGAAAGTCCCTAATGTGGCTGTGTCTGGGGACTTTTACGGACTCAGAATGGGGAGTATGTGCTGATTGGTTTGTGAGTATGCAAAAAAGGTTACAGCAAAGACACCACTCAAAGGTGGGCATGACAGTGTAGAAAACCAATTAGAAAAAGGGTAGGTATGGCCGGGCGCGGTGGCTCAAGCCTGTAATCCCAGCACTTTGGGAGGCCGAGACGGGCGGATCACGAGGTCAGGAGATCAAGACCATCCTGGCTAACCCGGTGAAACCCCGTCTCTACTAAAAAATACAAAAATCTAGCCGGGCGAGGTGGCGGGCGCCTGTAGTCCCAGCTACTCGGGAGGCTGAGGCAGGAGAATGGCGTGAACCCGGGAGGCGGAGCTTGCAGTGAGCTGAGATCCGGCCACTGCACTCCAGCCTGGGCGACAGAGCGAAACTCCGCCTCAAAAAAAAAAAAAAAAAAAGAAAAAGGGTAGGTATATGTAAAACACGTGAAGGGTGGGGATCCATCAGAGGAAAGCACACCAAACAGGAAGACGGGTTCTCAATCCAGTCTGAGGATTTAATTTGTAGCTTGGCTTTCAGGCTTTGAACTGTCTTTGCCTTGGAGGTGGGGTTTCACCAGGGACCCACCCCTATCTACCTAGGCGTTTGGCTGCCTCCTACCACTCTCAATAGCTCCCTTTAAAGCTACATCCAGAAAGTTCAATATAACCCCTCTCTTTAAGTACTATTGGCCAGCAGTAAGGGAGAGTGGGAAATGTCTTGTTTTTTGTTTTTGTTTTTTTTTGAGATGAAGTCTCACTCTGTCACCAGGCTGGAGTGCAGTGGTGCGATCTTAGCTCACTGCAACCTCCGCCTCCTGGGTTCCTGCCATTCTCCTGCCTCAGCCTCCTGAGTAGCTGGGACTATAGGCACCCGCCACCACGCTCGGCTAATTTTTTGTATTTTTAGTAGAGACAGGGTTTCACCGTGTTGGCCAGGATGGTCTCGATCTCTTGACCTCGTGATCCACCTGCCTTGGCCTCCCAAAGTGCTGGGATTACAGGCGTGAGCCACCACGCCCAGCCATGTCTTGATTTTAAACATCCATGTCCCTTGCTAAAAGTAATAAGGGGTATTATTACTAAGAAAAAAGAGAAGAATGGATATTGGGAAATAACTCACAGAAGACACAGATGGAAAACTCACACTCAAATATTGTAAGCACACTGGGATATCTGTATCCAAATCTGTAGGCCTGATGGAAGCTTAAGTTAAAGTGTGTTTATAAAGAACCATTAAAAAAGGCTTTATATACAGTCAATGTTCTGTGCTCTCCACAACTGAAACCTTCTTTATAGGCATTAAATTTAGGTACCTTGAAATCAGCCACATTAATCATTTGAAATAAAAGAAAGATTTGCTTCACACAGCCTCTTTTTTCTTCTGCTCTTTTAAACCTTCCATGTGAGATTTCCTGTTGAAATGAGACCAAAAGGGCAACCATCCACAGCCTCCTAGTCTGAAATACTAAAAAGGAATCAGTTGTTTATTTATTTCTGTCAGGACCAAGAGCCAAGAGGAACGGCCCTGGGGCAGATGTGTGTTCAAAACAATGATTAGGTTAATATGGAGACAAATGCACGCCCAAATATGAAGTCCTTTGGGCTGTTTCCAGTGTCTTCATTAACTCATATACAAAAATCATGAAAGGTTCCATGATTACCATGACAACAGTTTGCAGTCACTATGAAAGTCTGTGCTAAATGACCCAAGGGCAAACCTCTTTGAGAGATCTCAAATGGATTGAATTTCTGATATGCTAAATTCCAGCCTTATTCTCAAAATCTCCCTAGTGATGCAGCACATTGGAATCAATAAATGCATGAGGTCTTTTCTCTAATTAGAAACTCTGGCACAATTATTAAATAGGGAAAAAAAGATACAATGAAAGTAATTGGATATTCCCAAACCATGGAGATATCTGATTCTCGATCTCCAGAGTATTTCCAAATCATAGTCTATAGCTTGAGGCCAAAGTCTTTTTCTTTCTTTCTTTCTTTTTTATATTCAACATTGTCAGTCTGCTGCTGGGGGAGGTGACTGACAGCAAGGAAGGCACATTATTCATTCATTTGACAAGTATTTATTGGGTGCTGGCCAAGTACCAGGCACTGTGTTAGATACCCAGAAACAAAAGCAATCCAGAATCTACCTATGCCCTCACAGAGCTCACAATCTAAGATGGAAGAAAGACAAGTCAACAGGCAATGATAATGTCCATATACGTGCTAGGACAAGAGGAGCTAAAGGTACTCAGAGAGTTAGGAAAAGAATTTGTGTATCTGGGAGGGCTTCCTGGAGAAAATGACACACACTGATTCTAAAGGCCAAATAGGGATTGGCCAGGCAAAGACGAGGAGAAAAGAGTGCAATAAGCAGAAAGAACATGTCGTGCCCAAGTCCTGAAGAGTAGAAAAAGCTAAAAAGTAGTTCAACATACAGAAATAGAGAGTAGAAGGTGAATGTGTTGAGGAAAAAGATGGAAAGCAAACAGCCACCAGATGGTGAAGAGCTTTGCTGCCATGTTCAGGGGATCTGGACCTCATCGAGAGGGCAGTGGGAAGTATCTTCATGTGGGTTATTTTGGTTGCAATTAGCAGAACTCCAAGGCCAATCTGCTTAAGCAAAAAGGGGTATTTGGGCAGGACGTGGGGTAGCTCACAGAACCCAAGGCAGGAAATGCAGCTGTAACTCCGTCGGGTTGGACTGCAGATGGAAAGGCCTCAGGAACCGGCACCCCTGCCTCTTCTCTCTGTGCATCTCTCTCTTTCTCTCTCTCGCTCTCTCTCTCTCTCTCTCCAGATCATGTCTCTCAGTCCTGATCCCAAATTCCTGGGAGAGAGAATCTAATTGCATCAGGCAAGGTTGGCAGGGGTCCACCCCTATAAAAGGAGCATGGTCCTCAGAGAATAGTAAAGTGTTAAGGCAGGTTGTGTTAGGGAAATGAAACAACCCTGCCAACATTAACAACAACTCCTTTGTAGCACTATTTGAAGATATGAAGAGAGAAGAGAGAGAACACAACTTGTGAGTAAGCATTACAGATTTACATGCATATGCAGATAGTATGAAAGTGTGTACAAAGTCTGGACAGAATTTCACACAACTTTATATAGTAAGTTGGAAGACGACAATTACAATTTCTCTTGCCGTTCTGGAGGTAAGGGCTTACAGATCCTTACAGAAGGCCAGAGTCCTCGCATTGTAAAATCAAAAGGCTGGCTTCTTATGTCTTATGTCTTTAAGAAAACATTCTAAGAGGACAGGGTGGTCAAGGTGCAATGGCTTCTCTCCTCTTCACTAAACAAAAAAAGCTTGATCATCTAACCGTTAGCGTCGATACCTCAAAATGTATCTTACAGGATGCTATTGAAGAGTTTTAAACAGAAAGTGAAATGATAAAAGCAGGGCTTTAAACAAATCACTTTAGCTTTAATGTGAGATAGGACTAGGTCAGTGGTTCTCAATGTGTGACTCCTGGATCAGCAGCATCAGCATCATCCGGGACCTTTTGTCTCACCCGGCCCAGACATCCTGAGTCAAAAACTACAAGGGTGGGCCCAGCAGTTTGTGCTTTAACCACCTCTCCAGGTGATTCTGAGGCCTTGTAAAATGTGATAACCAGTGGACTAGAGAGAGAAGGGCTTCTTGCAGATATGA